AACTGCTAAAACAAATGCCTGTTTCTTATCCTCACCTACGAAAAAAGACTTTTTCCCTTGCCAACAAGTTAGGATAAGCAAACTCCTTTGAAAAAAAAGCTCAGACAAGCTGTGAGATCACTTGTTTAAACAGGTGGGCAACTGAACATGGTCAACAAGTTAACCATGCAAAAAAATTTGGAGTAAAAAACCCTCCTGCAAAATAATCTGACAGCAAACAAGCTTGAAGGTACTGGTTCTGAACTTGGTGGAGGATTGCAGGCCTTGTAAACAGAAATTCATAGAAAGGTAAACTTGGACTGGTTGGATATTTGAAGACATATTGTTATTTATTTTGAAGCTTCTGGCTGCAGCATAGAAACTTAGTTGAGGCTTCTTTTTCACATGAACATGTCGAAAGCGGAGCGTAGATTCTTGACAAGTTCCTTCACTGAGAGGCTGAATTCCACTTCCATCTGCCAAAGATCAAGATGGTTTCAAATGAATTTAATTGAAAAAGTCATCTCATTAAAGCATGAATAAACTGGATCAAAACAAAATTACCTGAGCAATAATGGTTACATCAAGAGCACAGCCCCCAAATGTCAAGACACTGCTATTGATGAACTTAAGTTGGAGCTTCTCAACCTCTGCTATAGTTTTCTCCACAACTCCTTTTCTTTTCTCACAGTGAATTCTTATCATGACATTGTTGTCACAGAACCTTGCTTCAATTTCAGGCAGTGTCTCATCAAAGGGGCCACTGGAGTTATTTTCTTCTGAGGATGAGTTGTCATCGTTGGCAAAGAGCTGCGTTTTCTTCACAAAGACGACGGATTCCATGTTTTTCTTTCTGGTCTGTTCCTCAAGTGTCTTTACCTTGTCCTGCAGTTGTTTGATATACTTGATAGCATCTCCAAGAACAGAAGCCTTGTCCATCTGTCACAGCAAGGGTACGATTTTGGATTAGAGAGCGATTCAGCAAGTTAAAACAATCCAAATTCCTAAATTTGCAACAGATCATTTCAGGATATAACATATGAAGTATTTGACAAGAGACTGAACAAGAAGCATCTGCATTATTCAACAACCGTTCAGTTGGTTCAGAAAATATGAAACGTTACTTTGAGAAACGATTTAAGCTATCCCAGAAACTATAGATTTCTTAGAGTACAAGCAAGACAAGCAAAATAAAACATGTTTTAAATAAAAACTGCAAAGAATAACATAAACAAAACTGTGGAGGAAGCATCAGAGCAGGACAATAAAGAGAATTTGTTACCTTCTTTAGGCCAGGAACCATTGCAGATAAAGCTATGAACCGTTGGCTGAGCTTCTCTCTCCTTTTCCTTTCTGCAATAATGTGATCTTGAGTTGTAGAAAGCCTAGTGTTTGTGTTGACCCCCTTTGTTCCCTGACTGGCCTTAAACAAATAACTTTGGTTGCCAAATGAACTTTGAGAGAGCAATATATCAGAAGGGAGACCGTTGTTGCTCTTTGAACACACTGCTGCCTCCTCCTTAGGCTTAAGAACCCCCATTTGGTTTGTGCTATGAGAGTTGACAAAGGAAAGGATATTTGGAGAGGAAGCAACTTGCGGGTTCGATCCTTGTTGATCGGTTTTGCATGAACTCCAGCCATCAGTTTTGAGCTGTTTCATGGGTCTATCAATGCCACTATGAGAACTATCCATAGAAGTTTTAAGATTGAAATTTGGGTGAAAGTGAGACTGGTTAAAGTTCTCTCCAAATGCAGCTGCTAGTGGCAGCATGCTGACTTCATCCAGAGAGTTCAAGTGCCACTGGTTGATGAAGTAGGGATCTTCCATTCCCTGCAAGTTCAAAAAAATCTCCTTAAGACATTTCATCTAACAGATAAAACCAAGTCAAGTATTTCAAGTAAGCCTCAATCTCTTACATAACAAATAAAACTGTTTTTAGAAAGGCCAAAACAAAGAACAATTTCCCAGAAGCATGTTGTTTATCTTTATCCAAAGTAAAGACACAAAGTGGTACAGAATTTCCTTACCAGTTCAGACATCCCTCCTATCGACGAAATCGCCATCAAGCCTGCTTCTTTTGTTTGATATTCTGGAGCTCAAGGAAGGGTCCTGGAAAACAAAATCACTGTAACAATTTACTTGGGCCGTGCAGAACAATACACACAACACACCCCTTTACTCAACAATGAGGAAGGCTTCTTCTTCTTCTTCTTCCCTAGAGCTTACAAGACCTTGACCTGGTTCAACTTTTATAGCTAGCTCTTGGCTCTTGCTCAGTTTGCTTGTGTAGTTCACCTGTCCGTAGCTCACCTTTGAACAATTGCTCTCTGATGTGAAACTGGGACCAGACAACTTGATTAATTGTTCCCATTATTCTATCTTGGTACTGATTGACCATGATATTATTCCTCAATTGTTTGAATTAATGTTAACTGTAGCTATTAGCTAGCAAGGAAATTTTAAAATTATTACCAAAGTGTGGTTGTTCTAAGCTGATAAAATATACAGCCTAGAAATTCAATTTTGTTGCTTTGTGGACTTTAAGCGGGATCTTCACCAACTAGCCATTGAAATTTTCTTTCCAAGGTTGCTGATGAAGCAACAAAAATATTAGACATGTGGTCCCTCCACACAATGTCCTAATCACCAAAGCCAACCTTGCATTATTATTGTTCTTTCTTGTGAGACCGTATAAAATACATGTATTAGCAACGTCACGTAATAGTGTTACGATCATATCCAAACTGTAATTTTTTATTTTATTTTAATCTTTTTAACATTCAAAATCAAAAGCCAATGATAAAATGATATTAGTAACACCACATGACAGTGTCACGATCACATCATAATGATACTGTTTCCTATTCTTTAACATTCAAAATCAAAGCCAAGGATATAATGATGAGCTGGATAATTATGCAATGTCGTTAAGTTAGTGATTAAATCACAGTGTGATTTCAGACGTGTCATTAGAGAATGATTGGTGTGGAAAGTAAATTTTAAAAAGGTTTAATGATGTTGATTGTGTTAGGAACCTTCCCTTGACTTTTTTTGTTCTGACCCAATAGGATATTGACGCGTACTACAGAACGCTACACCTGGCTACTTTATGGGTTTATTGTTGGGCCGACAAATTCCGTCAAACCGGCCCATTAAGAGGTCGGCTCGTGAGTGATCTGACTAAACTGGTTCATCATCCCTTTCCAATTTCTATTATTTAGACTTGTCTTACGAAATTGAACTTTCGCATGCATTTGCTCTATTGCTTTCACATTCAAGGTCATCTAATTGCTATGCTCCTTTCCGAACCAATTAGGACGGCCAGGTTTAAATACTCCGATTCAAGTTCATTTCATTGTACACTTGAGAGTATTATTCTGCATCGAAAAACTAAAATTTTGCACCACGATATATAAGATATAAAGTCTCTCTACTCATTATCAATTAATTCGACGCGTTTGATATTCTAAATCTATTACTCGACCTGTTTGGCCAAATCGTCGTGATCTCAAACTAACTATTTTATGTCATAATTTGTTGGCTAAGGTGGGCCCTAAGTTTAGATCTTAGAAAATGAGTGCATGTCAATGCATGGGGTAACAAAAGGTCTTATATTGGTATAAAGAAATAATAATAAGAGTGTAGATGCCAATGCATGGTGTTTGCAAATAATTTCCTATACGTATATCTTGGATAATAAAGATACAATATTATACGAACTGTGTTGTGTGTGAGCATTGGGGACCTCTGATGCTG